ATTTTGGCAGCAGAGTACAAGGACTTTATATATGTGTGTGTCTCTGTGTGTATATTTATGTATACTAAAGAAAGTGCCTGTACTTGTGACTGTGGCCACTCTGAGGTTCCTCCCTCGCTGTCCTTCACAGGAGGCTATTACTTGACCAGCGCCTATGGAGCACTTTCACTGATCAAGAACTTCCAGGAGGAACAAGCTGCCCAACTCCTCAGTTCAGAAGCCAGAGACACTCTGCGGCAATGGCACAAGAGGAGGACAACTAACAGGACAGTGCCTTCAGTTGATGATTTCCAGGTAGAACTCAGGGCTGAAATAAAAACTGGGATGATTGTTTTGCTGGAAACTCCCATTTGAGAGATATGATTCATAGCAATTTGCTCAGGGCCACAAGTGGAGTGAAGCAGTGCTGGGATTATGTCTGGCAAATCTGCCTCAGTTTTGAAGTCTTTGCACTTTATGAAAGAGTTTGGTTATGATGGTGTAAAGAAATCACTAAATAATGGAGCTTTCTCACTCTCCCTTCTAAGTCATGCAGAGCAAGGACAAACCAAATTGTATCTTAGATTCAGCTTCTTTGTATGCTTTACTGATAAAAAGATCAAATGCAGATGTCCAGTGGTGTAAATCAGCACAGCTCCCCAGTAGCCAGTGCTGGCATACAGCAGGTAATAGAGAGGACAGGTGGGAGAAAAGTTTGCCTACAGTTTTAAAGTTTAAGCAAGCAGTAGAGTTCTGTAATATTGATGTCGTTACGTTTGTTTGTTTTCTTTTTCCCCTCCCCTGCATCTTGTACTGCTCTTTCAGAGTAGGGCAGTACCTTCAACTGAAGAGTAACAAAACAGTCGGGATTGCTTCATCTTTTAAAACCAGGCCTGCATCTTTCATGTGCTGTTGACTGGCTGTTCAGATGCAGCAGTTTGTGGACTGAAGCAAGGAGGATGTTGGAATCGAGAAGAAAGGATTTCTTTACTCTTTTGTGTTCAGTTGTTTACAGTTAGGAAGAGGAGAACAGACTAACAGAAAGTCCAACCCACGGCCAGTGCACAAAGCTAGTCCCTCTTACTGGGATGGATGCATCTTGTGTTCTGCTTACCTGTCCTTAGGTGTCAGATCCAAGCAGCTTGAGTCTTTGTTCTTTCTGGCAAAACACTGCACTTCCCATAGGAAAATCCAACACCCTGTATTTCTGCTGGATGACAAAATTAAGGAACATTCTTTCAGCAGCATCTTGTGTGCAGTTTCAGCTTCTCTTTCTCTGCAAAGGAACTTCATCCAAGCTCAGTGCACAGCTGGATGCAGGAAGGGGCAGGGGAGGAGCTCTCACTGAGTGCATCCAGTGCCTCTCAGTCTGTTGTCTCTTTAAAAGAGCCTCCAATCAGTAGATCACTGTACTTCCAGGCTATGCTTGGCACAAATTCAGGCGTTTTTCTGTCTGCTCAGAATGCCAGTTTTCTCTCTCTTCCTCTGAGTCCTGCAGTCCTGAAATGGAGCACAGCTCATCTTTCCCACATCGAACCGGGCTGTGATCATGACATTTCTGTGATGTAGTCTCACAGCCTTATCAGATTTTGGGCCCTGGAAGGGCTGCCTTTCCTTCTTCCCCAACAGGATGGAAAAGGAGAAGTCATGTTTTTTGATGATGATGAAATACAGCTTTCTGATACTGCGTGAATAATTTTAATGCATATGAATTACAGGCATTTTTACGAACTTCAGCCTCTCCTTCAAGCAATCCTGTCCATCTAAAGGCACATGTATTTAAAAACAGGTCTTCTCTGTGGTAGCTACATTAGAAATTAAAAGTGTAGTGTGTTTTGCCTCATCTAGGGCTGATTTTTTTCTATAATTTCTTCACGCCAGGTAACAAAAATGGATTAGTTCTATTCAGTCAGATTCAGTCCCAAGTGTTTAAAATCTGTTGCAGAGCTTCAGTGTTTCAGTCTGCATGCTGTCTTTATTAAGACAAGAGTGCTCTTTGGAACTTAAATCATATGAACGTTCTTGTCAGTCCTAGCTTTTTTCTGTGAAATGTAAATTTTTGCCACTGTGATTTAGCATGCTTAATTTATTCAGCATACAAACTATAGGTACCGGCTCAGTCAATAAACAGCTCTTTCTCACTGTAATTTTTTCTGCCTCCTTTAATTTTGCTGCCTTTTAGTCTTTACTTGCAGCTAATTTTTCTTTTCAAACAGGCACACAGGAAAGTGTTACATGTGGCACCTGGACACCATGTTCATGTGTCCAAAAACTTTTGGTGGGCTCCCACCCTCCCGTTTCTTGCTCTTTATTTTACTTTTTGAATGCTTTTTGAAGGGTAAAACTGCATTTCCTGGCAGGGCACATTTAGAATGTATCCATTTTATCAGAGTTGTGGGCACGTGTCAGTTTTTACAGAGAGCAAAGGTCCAGCTTTTGCCTCAAGATCATATGGATTGACTGGAATGTTGCAGAGTAGATTTTCTTTCTGCATCCATCTGAGCCCTGTTTAAAAGAAGCAGATGCTGTCACGTGAAGCTTGGTTATGTCAGGCTTAGGCTCCAGCCCAGCACTGGTTAAGGATGAGGGGTTTTTGAGTTTCTGATGCCTGTTTTCTTGTTCTGCAGAACTACCTTCGTGTTGCATTCCAGGAAGTGACCAGTGGGTGTACGGGAAAGACCTTACTAGTAAGACCATATATCACCACCGAAGATGTGTGTCAGCTTTGCGCTGAAAAGTTTAAAGTGGACAATCCAGAAGAATATAGCCTGTTTCTTTTTGTTGATGACACCTGGCAACAACTGACAGAGGATACCTACCCTCAGAAAATCAAGGCGGAGTTGCACAGCCGTCCACAGCCCCAGGTCTTTCACTTTGTCTACAGGCGCATCAACAGTGACCCATATGGGGCCATTTTTCAAAACAGCAATGACTCACCTTCTTAAAACCAGCCACTCATCATTTGAATTTCTGTTTCTTGGTAACTGTTACAAACCTCTTTGTCGCTGCCTTCCTTAGGAGCTAAAACGTGTCTTAAACCGTAAAGCCTAGTAAAACACATGCTGGCATTTCTGGCATTGCTTACAAAACCCATGTTCTCAACACCATGCACGTGGCCAGTTATGCAGAATATTCCACCAGCATGTTTGAGGGAATAGCCCACGAGGCTACATTTCTTGTACCACAGGCTCTTTTGCAGCATATGACACTGTGGCCCTTCACAGATCTTTGCTGTAGTGTGCAAAAATCTATTTTCTTACACTCATTGTTTAGCCAAATGTCATTTCGATTTAAATCTGCATGCTAGACAAGTATTTCAGTAAACTGGCTGGTATGAGCTCAGTTTTGCCAGCAGGAGTTTGACAAGACTGTCCGATGCAGGGCATCAGTTAACTCATAATTACCTGGATGATTGCATCCTTTTCTAATTTTTTTGATTACAGAAAATCATCATGTTTATATATATATATATTATACATATATATATATCATAGAAATTTTCTAGCAGTTGCAGGTAAACTGTCAGGGTTGGTTTTTTAAATATTTTTTTAACTATAAAGTATTCTATAATTATGCATGTGATTTTAACATTTAATATACAAGAATAAATCTCTTGCTGGTTTTAGAGTATTGCATTAAAAGTATATGTGTTCTCTCTTCTTTCCCTGTTCCAGGAGAGCTCTTATGTAACTTGTGTTATGTGTAAGAAGATTGTAGCATCGGCACTGCCGATTCCAGTGCCTTTACCTGAACTTGGTGTATTGGTATCTGTATTATTGTTTATATGCATCGTTTTAGACAGAACTAGGGGGCTGGAAGAGAAAATTGAAAGAAAACGTTGTAGAGGAGGGGAAGAGAAAGAATGTAGAGAACCTAATTTAGCATTAAAATCTGTTAGTCTGCTGGTTCAGGCTCCTTGCAGAAAACGGTGAAGGAGGTTGGTCAGGAACTTCAGCGGAAGCAGCAGTGTAGGTCTGCAGAGGGATGTGACAGCACCTCTCCCAGGTACTATTTGTGTTAGCAGAGCATTAAATATGTCAGCAGTGTGAAGGAGAACACTATTTTGTACAGTTGGTTGCCAGCATCCAAGCGTATGTTGGCCTGGAGAACACGTGTCAGCGTTCCTGTCACCTGGAGAACACGTGTCAGCGTTCCTGTCACCTGGAGAACACATGTCAGCGTTCCTGTCACCTGGAGAACTCGTGTCAGCGTTCCTGTCACCTGGAGAACACGTGTCAGCGTTCCTGTCACCTGGAGAACACGTGTCAGCGTTCCTGTCACCTGGAGAACTCGTGTCAGCGTTCCTGTCACCTGGAGAACACGTGTCAGCGTTCCTGTCACCTGGAGAACACGTGTCAGCGTTCCTGTCACCTGGAGAACACATGTCAGCGTTCCTGTCACCTGGAGAACTCGTGTCAGCGTTCCTGTCACCTGGAGAACACGTGTCAGCGTTCCTGTCACCTGGAGAACTCGTGTCAGCGTTCCTGTCACCTGGAGAACACGTGTCAGGGTTCCTGTCACCTGGAGAACACGTGTCAGCGTTCCTGTCACCTGGAGAACACGTGTCAGCGTTGCTGTCACCTGGAGAACACGTGTCAGCGTTCCTGTCACCTGGAGAACTCGTGTCAGCGTTCCTGTCACCTGGAGAACACGTGTCAGCGTTCCTGTCACCTGGAGAACTCGTGTCAGCGTTCCTGTCACCTGGAGAACTCGTGTCAGCGTTCCTGTCACCTGGAGAACACGTGTCAGCGTCCCTGACGCCGCGTCACGCGCTGAGCGAGGCCCGAGGGTCAGTCCTGCGTGTGTAGGCAGCAGGTTGGTGTTTCAAGCATGTGTTCCTGTGGGTTTTTCCCAGACAGCCTGTGTCATGGGTGATGCTCTGCACCCCCCTAAGTCAGTCAGGGCTGCTGTCTTAGGGGGACACGGGGTGCTCCCCAAATCTGCTGTAGCGGTGGAACATAAGGCAGAGACCACCCAGGTGCCACGGGCAGCACGTGTGTTGTACATACAGAGATTGGTCCGTTTGCCTTGTATGTGAGACCCCTGGCACGTGCCTGTATTTCATTTTGTACATGTTGAGTGTTGCACATAATAATACATTGCAATGCTGAACTATAATTTGGGATGTTGTGTGCTGTGGTTTTTGGGGGGAGCTTTTTTTTTTTAAATGGTTCATGCTGTAAAGTTTTGTGTATAAGTGACTCTAATGCTGCTGCTTTTTGTGCTGCTTGACCCAGTGTAAACTCTTTGCAGAGGAAGGACCTTGCTTGGCCTGAACAGTCAGTGGAAGCAACAGGCAGGGCTTGGCTGCTGAACCATTTTTTGTGACAGTGAAGGCTGATGTTCAGTGCTCAAGAAAGTTCCACTGTTTTCATAAGACTGTGACACTGACACTGAGGAGAGGGAAGGACTGGGGCAGAGTATTAAGAAACTCAGAATTTCAGGCATGAAGCAAAAGAAAGCTCAGAGTGCAAAAAGGGAAATGTGTGCCTAAACTGCCTCGAGACAATTTTGCTGTCCGTTCCCGTGCAGTTCTGTCTTCTGAAAATTAGAACATTTTATTCATTGTGGTTTCCAAAAACACTTCTCATAACGCCAGGAAACAGATGATACAAAAACCTGCAGAAATTTGGACTGGTAAAAATAAGCTGTTCAGTCTTCTCCAGTGTGAGGTGTTTGATGTTAGGAATGACTGAAAAGCAAGGAAAGGGTTATAGTTGAGTTTGTCTCTCATCACGTTCATTCAGAGCACACTGAGACAATGGGGGGGGAAGAGCATGGATAAAGGTGAAATTTCCCTGAGAAAAGTTTGAGATCAGAGCATTAACTGAGAGCACAGGCTGGGATCAGGGCTGAGCAGCACCACACCCTGTGCACACAACCCATTTAGCTTTGTCAGGGGGTTTATGGCCCTGCCAAGAAACAGATGCTGAATTAAGGAGTGCCAGGCCGTGGTTGTGTCTGAGCTGGTGGGTCATTTACATGTTCATCAGCCACACTCTGTAATAAATACTGCTTTTTGTTCCTGTGTTTCTTTCATCCTTATATCCAACTTTCCGTCCCTTTTTTTCTCTCTGTGTGTCTTTTGTGTCATTTTCTTGTCCTGTCTGCTCCCCATCCCATTCCCTGTCACTACTTTGCTCTAGTTTGTTTTTGTTTTTCTCTTTTAATAAATAAATATTCAATATTAATTTAATAAATATTGCTCAATCCCTTTCCCTGTTCCCTGTCATACTTTTACTCTCCATATGTCACTGCCTGTCTGCATCTTTATCTTTCCTTCCTTCTTCTTCTCCTTTTCCTATGTCTGTCCTGCCCCTCTTTTTCTCATTCTGACCCAGTGTCCTGCTCCCTGATCCTCTTTCCCTGTTGCTATCTTTTTATCTGTCCTTCTCCATGCCTCTCTCATGTTCCCTCTTTCTTTTTCACTCTGTTGCTCTGTCCTCATTGTATCTCACTGCTGTCCTTCTGTCCTGTTCCCTGCCCCTTTTCTTTTTTAATCCCTTTCTGTTGTGCTGCCCATCCCAGTTTTGTTCTTCATCTCCATCCTGCACCCTGTCCTTTTTCTTTCTCTGTCCTGCTCCCACTCCCTCTTTCTGCCTCTCCACCTGTCTCCCTCTCCTCCTGTCTCCCTGATGCTCCCACCCCATTCCTGGGCCACAGCAGTGGGAGGCGGCAGGAGAACCGTAGGATTGTTTTTCATGTTAATCTTCAAATTTTCACTCTTGACTTTCAGCCCCACTGGCCGAGTGGGAAGAGCAGCAGTGGCACGAGGGCGGGAGCTGTTGGGTGGGTCTGGGAGCCCACATTGCCATCCTGGTGCAGCCCAGATTGCCATCCTGGTGCAGCCTGTCCTGCAGCCCCATGGGGTAATGTCCCTGCAGCAGCACCCCGGGGAAGGGAGGAGACATCTCCTGGCACTGCTGGAGCGCAGGAAAGGAGCGGAGCGGGAGGTGAGGTACCAGCCTGGGACACGGGGCAGAGTGTGGGAGGTGAGGGAGGTGAGGGAGGTGAGGCACCGGCCTGGGACACGGAGCAGAGTGTGGGAGGTGAGGGAGGTGAGGCACCGGCCTGGGACATGTGGCCCCTGTGCCACGGGACAGGAGCTGGGGGGACTTCAGCCCTTGGGGGGTTTGATTTTTCCAGCAGAGCTCCCTTTTTAGGGGGATGAGATATATGTGCTGCTGTCCAGGGCAGTGTGGCTCGTTCTGTGCCTTCTCTGGGGAGAGCAAAAAGGTGTGGAGGGAGGCTGGAGCCCGGGGGGTGCTGATGGATTTGGGACACCCTGATGTCACTGGGAGAGCGCTGGTGGGGTGGAAGGCACCTACAAGGCCCATGGCCCCTGGGGGATGGAAGGCACACCAGCACCAGGCTCTCACCAGCTGAGCCACTGGCAGGGAGGGGGCTCCTCTCTCCCCCCCCAGGGGAGATGAGCCCTCAAATGCAGCACTTTTCACCCCAAAACTGCAGCCTTCACTCCAAATCGGCCTCTTTCACCCCAAAACCTGCAATTTTCACCACAGCGTCTCCCTCCAGATGTCAAAATCAGCCTTTTAAATCCCCAGTCTGAATCTAGATGCAAAAACCTGCCCTTTTCACCCCAAATCTGCCATTTTTACACCAAATCAGCCCCTTTGAATCCCAAATCTACTTCTCACCGCAGCTTTGCCTTTTTGACCTCAATATCTGACCCGTTTTGCATCAAATATGCCAATTTCAGTCCCAAAATCTCCCTCCAGGCATCAAAATCTGCCCTTTCAACCTTGATAGCTGCCCCCTTTGACCCAAAATCTGCTCTTTTCACCGCAAATCTGCCTTTTCCAGCTCAAAATATCCCTCCAGACTCCCCAGTCTGCTCCTTTCACCCCAATTCTGCCATTTTACCCCCAAATCTGCCTCCAGATGTCAAAACCTACATTTTTTTACTTCAGAATTTCTTCCCCGTCTCCCAAATCTGCTTTTTTTTACCTAAAAATGTGCCCCCAGACCCCCAAAATCTGATTTTTTTACCTTAGAAATGTTTTCCCATCCTCCCAAATTTTCATTTTCATCCCCAAACCTGCATTTTTACCTCAACATCTGCCCCTTTTACCTCAAGATTCCCTCCCACAGCCCACAATATGCCCTTTTCACCCCAAAAGCTGATTTTTTTTTTTGCCTCAGAATTTCCTCTCACACCCCAGAGTGGGGAAATCAAGGGGGTTAGATGTGATCCCCTAAAAAGGGGAGGTTACGGTCCAAAAATGCCTGGAAATTCATAGGGAGAGTGTGCGTGCGCGCGTGTGTGTAAAACGCTAAAGCCTTTACAGTTTCTCATTTATATACATATATATAAACAAATAATTTATGTAAAAAATTAATTTTAAAACTAAAACCTCGAACCTGTTATATTTATATACAGGATTCTAGGGTCTAAGAAATTCCGAATATGGATCTGTAGGCCTCGAAAGTGAAAATATGACTTGCGTAGGTATAAATCAAACAACGGGCGCTCGCCCTGAGGCACCGGAAGTGTGCTGGGCGGGGGCGCATGCGCAGTGAGCCAGCACACGGCCCCAGTCACGTGGTAGGTGCGGCCGGCCCGGGCCAAGGGCAGCGCATGCGCAATGACTTCAATGACTGCGGTGCCGCCTGCTGGTCAAAGGGCGAGGCTGCAGCGACGGGACCTGCGCATGCGCCGTGCCCGGGGAGCGGGGAACAATTAACGGGGAACAATTAGCGGGGAATGGGGAACGGGAAATGGGGAGCGGGGAACGGGCCGGCCCGGGGGAGCCCCGCAGGGGATGGGCCGGGCCGGCGGCACCGAGCGGGGAAGGAGCGGCCGCGCCCGTTCCCGGGGCACCCGCCTCTCACGGAGGGGTAAAATGAACATTTTGAGGTAAACCCGAGGAAATTAGTGAGGGACATTCAGGGGGAAAATCGAGGTTCCTTGAGCGGGACAGGAAGGGACAGTTCTGGGGTAAAACCTGAGGTGGTCGCGGGAGGTTTAGGGGTCCAACCCGAGTCCCTGTGCCGGGATCGGAAGGAACGTTTCTGAGGGAAAAGCAAACTGGGAGGGGGAGCAGAGGCGACATCTTCCACCTGAAAATGCTGAGGTAATTTGGATGAAATAAAATCACCGTTTTTGTGGGGTGAATCCAGGGGTACCTTAGAGAGGAAAAAGGAGCCTTTGTGAGAGAAAGGCTGGGAATTCAGACCAGACTGAGGCAGCATTTTGGACAGAAAACCTGAGGTTACTTAGCAGGGACAGAAGTGACCCTTTTAGCCGAAAACCTGGGGTAATTTAGAGGGGCCACAACCACTGTTTTCTGTAGGAAAGTGGGAGGTGATGCAGAGGGGAGAGAGGTGGTGTTTGGAGGTAATGGCTGAGACTGACCGCCAGCTGCAGACTGAGCCTGGGGCCTGAATCCTCTCCAGTCGGCAGGGGCTGTTCCCAAATGCCATGCCCTGCTCACAACTTGGTGAGACTGTGTTCCTCCAGCCACACTTCCAGGTGCTGCTTTGGTGCTCCTCTCGCCTTTGCCTCCTGGGACTGTCCTGGTGTTGCAGCTCAATAAAGTCCATTTTGTTGTTTATTGGTTTCGACATTGTGCCTTTTCCAGTGTGAGAAATAGAAACCCAGTCAGGTGATTTCCAGTCAGAATTTATTATATGATAAAAGCAAATTCAGTGCTGGGCGATCACGGAGGGGTTCAACAACTCCCAACGCGTGTCAGACCCAAAGAAGACAGTTGTTCTACATTTATTTCCAGCTACTTCATGAGTATTCATTATACATAAGCATAAACATTACACATTGTTAAGTCAGACATTCAACAGATGTTTTTCTTAACAAGAATGTTATCTATAAGCATCCATAATATATTGTCAAATCAGACATTCAGCAGATGTTTGCTTGTTATCTATACAAAGTTATAAATTTTAAGAAAGGTGCTATTATCTAGCTAACTAAACAAAATTCTCTCACTATAAATCCTACACAAGGTAAAAGGGAGGTAACTTGTTTTATCTCTTTATAGGGGCCCAATTAAGTTTTACGATTTGTTTTTCTTTTCTCTCTCCAGGTCATATTGACCTTACACTGTTTTCTCTTAATTAGCCCAAATCATTTTCTCAGTTTATCACACCAGGTTGTTTCCAGGTGCTCGGAGAGTGATTCCCCAGGAAGAAGGGGAGCCTTGGCCTCACCTGCCTGGCTCAGTTGGATGGGACAGAACTGGGGCGGCCTGGCAAGGCATGAACAGGTTTCTGAGTTCTGGAGTGCCTTGAAACCTTTCTGTGTTCCAGGTCAGTTGCTGCTTGTGAGCCTGAGCCTTGGTTTGGGGGTTCAGGAGCCCGGGGGGCCGAGCTGGGGGGTGTTTGCAGCTCTGCCAGGGCTGGAGCTGACACAGCACTGGGGGAGAGCCTGGAGCTGGGCTGGGCTGTGGGACAGATGCGGGGGAGCTGGGGGAGGGTTTGGGGCTGCTGGGAGTGTAACAGATAACATACAAACGCCAGAAATTATGTTTCGCCATTGTTTCTGCCTGTCAGAAAACTCCCTACCAAAAATTCTGTGTCAGTTTTCCAACACAAGTCCTCACCAGAATTTTCCCACTGGAGTTTTCCTGCCAAAGGATCCTGTTATTGTTCATGGTTATCATATCTGCGAACATCTGGATAGGGCTACGTGCCAAGAAACCACACACAACCTCCTTTGAACACTATAAAAGTGGAGGAGAAATTTGGGAAAAGCAGGGAAAGAGGAGTGGGAGAGAGAGCTGGCTATAGCAGCTGAGAGTCTCTGCCCCACGTCGCCCTCACCTTTTCTTCTGCCACCGTGAGCTGCCCGCCCCTCAGCAGAGACCAGACCTCTGCCGTCCTGAACTGGACTGAGCCCCCCCGAGCCACCCGCGGGAGTTCCCCGCCCTGACCACATCGGTGAGGGCCGAGAGCTGGGGCTGGAGCGGGACCTCTGCGCGGGCTGGGAGCGGCAGGGACACAGACCAGGCCCAGCACTGCTGCTCTCTCTGTGCCCCAGCCCACAG